CAGTTTCAGTAGTTTTCAAATAGCCTACTTTATTTTTCCTAGCCCATCTATGATTTGAAAAAACACGGCAATTTATAACATGATCACTTTCACCAAAAAGATGGATGGATGGATGGATGGATGGATGGATGGATGGATGATAGATCGATAGATAGATAGATAGATAGATAGATAGATAGATAGATAGATAGATAGATAGATTTTATATCTATATCTCAATCTACATTATCTATCAATCTATGTACCTATCAGATAAACAGAGAAAAGGTAGAACTTGGAAATGGAGAAAGTGCCCAGCCACACACTTTTTCTTGGGATGAATTTGGTTTACAGAGGGAATTTCAGAAAACATCCTCTGGTTCAGCTGCTTGGCACCCTGTCTGTCCTGTCCAAGGTTGAGTCAGGGGAGTAGGGTTCAACCTTGATATGTCATCATAATAAAAAACAGTGTAAACAACGCCAACCACAGAAGCCCCTATGTATGGCTAAGAATCTTGTTTTATTTTTAATCTTCCTAACTCAGCTGTACTATTCCAGACCATTTTTTTCTGCCCAGTATTTTATAACTAAAATTGTCAAATGCATTAAAAAATTTGAAATAATTAGTGGACACCCTTATATTCATCACTAGATCCTTCAGTTGTTATGTTTTGCTCCATTTGCGCTTTGGACTAAATGCATGTATTTTCCTAAAATTCATATATTGAAGCCCCATTCCTCAGTGTGATGCCATTTGAAGGTGTGTTGGTACTTGGGGCCTTTGGGAAGTAATTAGGTCATGAGGGTGAGGCCCTCATGAATGGGATTAGTGCCATAAGAGAGACAGGAAAGAGATGATTTTTTATTTCTCTTGTTATGTGAAGACATAGCAAGAAGATGCCTGTTGGAAAACCAGGAAGATGGTTCTCAGTAGGATCGAAATTATCTGGCACCTTGATCTTGGATTTCCTAGCCTCTACAACAGTGAGAAATAAATTTCTGTTGTTTAAGCCACCCAATCTATGGTATTTTTGTGATAGCAGCCTGAGTTAGAACAGTTTGCTTTCTTGCATATCTATGCATCTCTCTAAACATCAATCCATCTCAGCTGTAGCCATCATTGCTCCTTACCCTACATATTTCAGCATGCATTTCATTAACTAGAGTTCACTATTTTATGGTTCTTTTCTATTTCTAGTTAAAATTTACAAACAGTGAAATGCACAAAGCCTAGTACCATTAAGTTTTGACAAATACAAATATTTATTTAACACACGCCTCTTTCAAAATATGATGTGTCTATCACTCCAGAATAGTCCCTCATGTCTGCCCAGTCCATCCTGATAGTACAAATCCTAACCCAACCACTCTTCTACTTTCTGAATTCACTATAGATGAGTTTTGCCTATTTTAGAACTTTATATAAATGAAATTATGCGGTAGGTACTTAATATGTTTTTGAGACTCCTCCATGTTGTTAAGTGTCTCAATTAACATCATTCCTTTTTATTGTTGAACAGTATTCCACAATACAAATACATATATCTTAATTTGTTTATTCATTCACAAGGACACGAGGACTTTTGCAGTTTCTGACATTATGAATAAAGCTGCTATGAACATTCTCACACAGATCTTTTTTAAAAACATAGATAAATGCCTAAGGATGGAACTGCTCGATTTTTCAGTGCATGTTTAGTTGTATAAGAAACTGCCGGGCGTTTTCCCAAAGTCTTTGTTTCATTTTCCACACTTGGTGGAGTTGGTCTTTTTAGTTTTAGCCATTCTGGGTTGGAGGCAGCGGGAGGGGTGCGGTTAGGGGCGGGGCGGGGGCATGGCGATTCCCAGCTCTAGGCGGGCTCCCACCAGCTCCTGCTCATCAGAGTAAAGCCCGCCACTCACTGAGCCTTCTCCCCAAGGATTCACCTCAAAAGTTTGGGGAGGGAGGCTCATATTTCAGAGGCTTATTTATTCTAAGACCCTAATGGAGGAGAGGAACTTCATCTACTATTTGTCCAGCTCTTTGAAGACTAGTTTAAAATACCAGAACAGTCACCTGACTGAATCAAGCTGGAGATTTCAAAGTTATCTTCTGTTTCACGATATATCTTGAGATGGAAAAAATTCTCACATCTAAATCCCAGCCTTTGTCTCTGTTTCCAGCAAAATTTAGAACGGCCAGTATTCCAGGGAAGGAAAGTTCCCAATACGCAGGCTCAGCCTATCTTCCTTCAGCTTCCCTACGAACTATTCTTCACACTATCATTGCCATCCCGTAAGACAGGATTGGTGTCCCCTCTTCACAGACAAAATAAGTGCACCTGTGCCCGGAGTCCCAAGCATAGGATTTGTGACCCACGCACAGATATGTTTCTATACATGTCTCCCCTGGCAGGCACCTCCTTCATGTTGGATGCTGACACGGGGCTTTGGTTCCAAGCCCTGGCCTCCCTCCACCTTCGCCTTGGAGGCCAGTGCGCTTGGCAAGGTCCCTCCACCACCCCCAATCCCCACCCCATTCAGCTCCCCACTAGCATCCTCTCTCCTTCTCTCTGCCCCACCCCACCCCCATTTCTTCCAACTCTGCTCAGTCACCTCATAAAACTCTTGTTCCCTCCCCCTTTCTCTCTCTTGTTCTCCTCCATATGGGAACTAAAAATGTACCCTAAGCCTGCCTGACGACTGCCAAAGTAGTGCTAGTGGCGTAATGAAGTGAGACATAATGAAGAACCAATGCAGCCCACGTGTAAAGCCCTTGAAAGTACCGAGAGGTCCCTTTCAGAATCTCCACAAAGGAACCCTCTACTTTCTCAACCCTTCCTAATTAAGCTGGATTTTCCTCAAGTACCCACATTATACATAAACAAAAAACTTCTGTCTTCCCTATTAGGTTTCTGTTTTAATTACTAGCATCGCAGCAACATTGTCTTCTATTACTTTGATTGCAAAGACACAGTATGACAGTTACATTTTAAGTTAAATTGCAACACTATGTCTATGAAAAATAATGTCGTAAAGGCCAAACTGACTTAAAACTTCTAGAATCAAATCAATTTCTAAATTAGAACTTGCGTTTTTTCCTACTTTGTTTTAAACAAAGAATTTTCCTTTGGAGTATTTTCTTTCATATAAAAATGTATGAAAATACAATAGTATCATCCTCAGTATCACAGCTTTATATGCAGTATGCCAACTTAGAAAGTATCTACTGTTATGATCTCATTTTACAGATGAGGAAACTGAGATTCAGAAAACTTCAGTAACTCACAGCTGGTAAGCGGTAGAGCCTCAATTCACACCTCAGTTTTTGTATCTCCAGCTGATGTTCTCTTAGCCACCATGCTGCCCTCCCTCACCCCTGCATTGCCTGGTATCACCCAGAACACGAATCAAATCTTCCCAGCATGCACTGGAATGAGTCATGACTATGTGATCCACCTCCCCATCATTCTCTATAGCACCACCATGTTCTTCCCCCCAAATAGTTCAGATCTCACCAAACCTCAGGAAGACAGGAAAAGAGACCAGCAAAAACTCTGAAGATAAAGCAGTAAATCCAGATCATTTATAAATCTAGAGCTATTTTAAAAAGCAAAGCTGTATCTAACAAAGAGAGCTTAGTTATACAATTAATAATCAGCATCTATTACACATTTTTTAATAGCTCTCATCTGACTCTGAGTTCAACACAGATTATGGTTTATGCACCTGTCCAGAGTGCTGGGCTTTCCTTAGGAACTTGCTCGAATGGGCTTAATACAGGTGGGCTACCAAGATACCATTGAACAGAGACTCCATGGGATGTAGCACAGTTAAAGGCTAAAAAGAATAAGAGCCCATATTTTGTTGTTGGAGTCCACCTTTTTCTACCAGCTCTGCTGGCTCTTCACATGATGCTAACATGTGATGCCAGAGTCCATTGATTCATGCAGCCTCCCGTGTTGTTATTGATTTCATTCTTATATCAGGAAGATTTTGGTGTCAATGAGGAACAGGCTCACTTGCCCTCCACCCTATCCTCTTTTACTTTACCTTCCTTTATTGAAAGGCTGGAAATTCAACAACAACATTTTTCAGACTCTCTTGCAGCTAGCATTCTGGATATAAATTAGGTTCCTCTGGCTCGATGTACTTATATGAGAGAGCCAGAAGGCACAACTAAAGCAAAAATCATCGTCCTATCTTCCTGACCCCTTTTAAGCTGGTGTTTGTTTTTTTTTTCTTTTGCTGACAAACAAGATCATGAAAGGTAAGCTCATTTTTAGCAGCATCGTTCCAGTGTTCAATCTCCAACTTCTTGGGTACTGAGAGGTAGTTGGCAGGAGCTGCTTTCTTATTCTGATTTCCTGAACCCTGGACTGCCAGTATTGAGTATGTTTTAAGCCCCTTTTTCCAGTGGTGATCTCAGAAGTGGTGAGTCAGTCCTGTATTGCCCAGATCTTCCTCCTTCACATCCTCTTTCATCAACACCATAACCATTAACATTTCTAGTATGCTCACTATGTGTTAGGCACTATGCTAACATTCTATATAAATCATTTCATTTATACACCAAAAGAATCCCATGAGGAAGATACTATTAATATTCTTTTGTTCTAAATGAGCCTACCAAGATTCAGAAAAGACAGGCAAATTGCACAGATCAAAGCAAAACTAGTGGGTAAGTGAATAGACCTGCCTCACTCCAACACCTGAGCTCTGCTTCTTTAAAGGTGTCTGAGGGCCTGGAATCTATTAGCAGATTTTAATTGCCCATACACATTGTGTTGCTGAAAAGACATCATTCCTGTCTCTTAAACAATATACACAAAAAGGTCAGCCTATTTCGTGTCAAGATGTGTCTAGATATCAGAGAAGCCTTCAATCTAATTAAATAGAAAGGCAATTTTAAAACCCAGAGGCATCACTTTGTAAAAACTCTCTAAGCCACACCAAGATCACTTTTATTGTAAAAGTTAAAGAATTAAGGTGAAAGCAGACACAGCCTTGTACTTGCCCCTGGAAGGAGCATGTTCACTTACCAGGAGCTCTGTTCACAGCGAGGTTTCGGAAATGGCTGCCTTTGATCATTTCCACAGATAATCGCCCCGTTGTGGCATTATAGGACAGCCCCACCAACAGCTCTGGCGTCCCTCCATGAGACAGCGACTGCGTGGATGAAGCACTATCACTGTGAGAAACGGCAGATGGGCTGAGCGGAGACTCTCCACTCTGGAGGGGAAGAAAAACAAAGAATCCATTGGCCCACGCTCCACTACTCTCCCTTACAGAAAGCCAATATTATGTTTGGTGAAATTGTGGCCCAATCTCAGTGGCTGCCAAAGATTACTAAGGAAGGGCGCACTCCGTGTGAATGATAATGGGTCTGGGGAGCACAGCAGTGGAGGAGAGCCCTTGCATTATTAGCTGACATCTTTGTTTCAAGAACTGTCTCCGTTCAATATTTCCTCTCAAAGACAAAACGAACCAAGATGTTATTACTAGCATAAATCAAACCATCTAAGATACATAGAGAACTAATGATACATTTAATATAGACCCAAATTCCCTCCTGTGTAATTTGTGCTCCAATGTTTCTGTGGAACCCATCCACTCTGTTCTCTGCAGCTTTGGGATGAATGTAGCAATTCAAAGGGCATTTTGTCTTCACCAGGAAAAAAATAACCATAGGATGCCTACCATTGCATGGAACGTTTGGCCGCTAGTTCTGCTTCTTAACATCAGGGATATGCCAGATGCTATATATTTTTTCCTAAGAAGTAAATTACATTGAAAGCGAGCCCTTTTACAAATTTTTGATACAGAAGGTGACTCATGACTGTGATTGTAGAGACCTTGCAGGCACCAGGAGTGCCGGGGGAGAGCCCACACCTTGTGTTATGTTTATTCACAGGCATGCTTCTCCAAAGCACCCACTTCTATGCACCAGAAGCATCAGGAGGAGGAGAGTGAAGCAGATCCCCAAGCTGATTCTCATTCAGGAACAGGAAGTAGGAATCAGCTCAGCAGGGGAAACCAGCCAGCCCCCTGAGCCACCACCTCCTCCACCAGAAACAAGTGCATTGGACTTTGCTCCAAACCTTTCTCCTGCACATTGAAAATCATTTCCTAAAACTTCTTATCAGAAACTCCAATGAATCAATGCACTGAAAGTCACTGAATATTTTTTACATTTGTGGGAAAACAACCCTGTTTACCAAGCCATGGGCATCTAGAGCCTGGGCTTTCATGGAACACAATTTGTAAACTACAGGGCTGGGTGGTTTAGATAGGTGCCTATAGCGCATGCTGGATGATGATAACCCAACAATGGAATATTTGCTAGGTTTTGGGTGAGGGTCACCCCTGCCCCTCTGCTTCTACAGAAGCATCTACTGTGGCACCTGTTGCTGCATAGCTTGCCCCTCCCATTAATCCCCCAGGCCCTTTTGTGACACCATGATTTTCCCTAAGCTGTGCCCCGCTTCAAATGCCATTTACTGTCTTTGTTCACTTGGGAAACTCAGACTCTCCCAATTCTTAGAAATCTCTCAGACCACAGTCCATACATAGTCCAATGTCTGGCATAGAATCATGCTCAACAAATAACTCGAGAAGAGAAAAATTTTGACCCTCAAAGTTTTTTCCTACTGACTCATTCTCCCCACTCAACTCTGTGCTCCCAGCACACAACACAGAGACTGGCACAGAGAAACAGGGGTGTGACCATACCTATCCCTAAGCTCTATTGTGCAGGTAGGACTCCTGATGTTCCTGCAGCTTCTGTTTTCCCTTGATTTCAGATGTGCTTTACTCAGAGCTTAAGAAGAAAAGAGGGATTGGAAATGAGACGTGATCTGGCTTATATTTTAAAGGCTCATTCTGAGCTCATGTTGGGAAGTGTCTCAGGGGGCAAAGGAAGCAGGGAAAACATGAGGAAGCCATTTCACTTAGCAGACAGTTGGGTTCTGGTAGTATTTTGAGTATGGAGCCAATAGAATTTTAACCTGAGCAACTAAAAAAGATGAAATTGCCTTTTGCCATGATGTAAAGAAAGACTGTAGGTGTTTACAGATTTAGGGAGGCAGAAGTCAGGATTTCAGTCCCAGAGATACTAATTTTGAAAAATCTCTTAAAATGGCAGTGGCCAGATCTCTCACTGCTGCATTCCAGCCTTTCTGGCTCCTTTCCTTGTCCTGAGACCTGAGGAGCTCCTGCCCGCCCCCAACACCTGCACGTGCCCCTCTCTCTCTGCCATCCTTGTCCTCCACATGCCACCAGCTTCTTCCCTGGGTTCCCTGAGTCCTGGATTTCATCAGCACCTCAAAGAAACTTTCTCGGACTCTTCTAAACAAATGACAGCCTCCGTCATTCTCTTCTCTCCTTCCTGCCTTGGTTTCCCTAGTATCACCCTCCTCCTCCTTGGGGATTGTAAGCTCTCCCAGAACATCACCCATTTGGTTCTTTCCTGCATCCCCTTCCTGCCAGACAGTAGGCACTCAGTTGGCCCAAAAGCCCAAGATAGCTACCTGACCTTTTTACATGGTTTTTTAAAAGGTGACACTCGTACTAGATGACACATTACCCATGGCGATAGTGAGCTGCCCATCTTGTAGACACACAAGCTATACAGTCTTTCCTTGACACACCAGGAGATGCAGAGGATGGGGCACACAGAGAAGCTTGGTCCTATAAATGGGAGGCCTTGGAAGTGGCTGGAGTTCTGGGCTACCGTTTGCAGCCTACACAGGCACCCTTGTCAAGGACCTCACCTTGGCAGTTCCATCTCTGAACTTCATCATAATGCCTCTTGGTGGCAGAGCAGGGGACGGGGAATGGGTGGTAGGACCACTGATTAGCTAACTAGAAGGCCTAGCCACCTCTCCTGGTTTTCCCATGCCCTCCACACACTGTGCTCTTTTTCCCTAAAATGGACATACATCAGGTTACAGGGAAGATGGGCACGAAAAACCCACTGAAGCATAAAGTGCAAATCGTGGCTTAGAAGGATGAGGAGTGCCAAATGGAAAATTAAATTAAAGTGCTTGAATTCACAGGCTGAATGCACTAAATCAAGATTTGACAATTCCACATCCTCGCACACACTGCATCATTAACAGCGCCACTTGACATACTCACACTGATGTTACTTCTTGGCTCCAGAACCAGAGTCACTTTCGTTTCCCCTTCTGGGTGCAAGTGGCTGAGATAGAACAGCTTCTCTCCCATCATTCTCTCACGGGTCATCTTGCGGGCAGCGTAGAGGCGGAAGCGGATGGCACAGGCAGCCACATCTCTGGGTTCCAGCTTGGCAAAGGTGACCTTCTCCTTGAAGACAGGGTTGGGCCCTCTCTGGATGCTTGTCCTGCCCCTCTGTTTCTTACTGGGCAGCAGGACCACGTGAACTTGCCAGGAGTTGATGCCACTTCGGTCCTTATCAGGGAGGCCTTGTGCTCTCACAATGGTCACTGTGAGTTTCTGGCTGGCAGCTCTATATTCAAAGATGGCATCCAGATCACCGCATTTTGAGATGGGCTCTGGGACCCCAGATGGCACCTGAAAATTGGCCCCATCCTGCTCCTGTTGCAGACAAGAAAGAAAGATTAGGAATGGAAATGATAATGCCCGACTACATTTTGGCAAGATGGTGCCCCTCTGTGCAACCTCAGAACCCTGTGCTTTCTGATGTTCAGATCCCTCTATAATAGAAAGGTCTGTTTGCTGGTCTATTTATCCATCGGACTGTGACTTTTTTGAGGATACAATGCCTGGCATAGGGGAGCCTTCATGAATGCTTTTGGAACAAGTGAACAAAGCTCTTATATTTTGCAGTATTTTCATCTACACTGCCTCTCAAAAAACATGACTGACCATTACCATTGGAACCAACTGAGATACAAAGTCTAAAATTATTCAACTACACCACTGCCAAGGGGTAACTACCATGAGTCCCAGGAGAAATGGTGAAGCCTGGGACTGCATTTTACAGGCCAGGACCTCCTGAAGACAAGAATCCTAATAAAACTGGGGTCATGGACAGATGATCCCTCAGTAGATATTCAGTCTACATAGGAGAAAAGTTTTGGGCAGAGCCTCTCCAATGTTCATGTGCATTTGCATCAGCCAGGGATTCTGATTCAGTAGGACTGAGGTGGGGTCTGTGAGTCTGCATTTCATAGAAGGCTATGAGGATGTCACACTTGGAATAGCAAGGGTTTAGGGAGGCATTCCCAGCAAACACTTAGTGAACAGCAACACTGGACTTGGAGACAGGACACCTAGGCTGAATATATACATAAATGCCAAACATAAATCATAACTCTACCACTGACTAGCTTTTTGACCCTGGCCCAATAAGCCATCCTTTCAGTACTCTTGCTAGAAAAAAAAATGAGCATTAAGATGTCTACTTGATAAAGTGCTGTTGTGAGGTTTTAATAGATGTGAAAAAATACCTGGCTCAGAACAGACTCTATAAATATCTATTCCCATCAGTAGACTGGTGCTACCTATTTTCAAACAGGCTCCCATTATGAAATATCACCCTTAGACAGCAGTTCACCTGTAGCCAGTCAGATCTGATGACCTCACTGAGAAAACTGAGCTGAACTGCATTTACTGTAATGAACCACCCTCCAACAAACTATAAATAATGTCAACCTAATTTGATTTTTCCTCTGAAGGCATGACTCTTCGCCATAACTAAACTTTGTTCTGATTTCTTATTGTAAATCAGAATCAGTTCTTACTTATGTAATGGAACACCAGACTTTGCTAATTTAAAGATCATATATATATATATATATATATATATATATATATATATATATATATCTCAAAAGTGCACTTGCATCAACATAACTTCCCAACAGAGCTCAAGTAGAAGGGCATGGTTCTCTGGAATGACACAGGCTTGGAAATCCCAGGTCTACCACTTGCTACCTCCCTGACATTGGGCAAGTTATTTAATCCTTTCCACTACATGTTTTCCTCAACAGTAAAATGGAGAGGGTACCTACTTTACAGGGTTGTTGTGAAAATTAAAGGACTTGACATATAGGAGACATCTAGTAAATGCCCTCTCTCTTAAAATTCACATTAGTCTAGCAAGAAAATTTAGGCTTCTTGCAAAATAAGGGGAGCTTCTTCTCTTTTTCTCGGAGCATGCATGCATTCATGTGTGAGTGTTTCTATTCAGAGGTACTTAGTTTCAAGTGATAAAAGTGGTTGCTATAGAGACTTTTGAATACAACTGACTGGTGTAGATATAATATTAGAAGCAAGTCTCCAAGGAGTTAGGCCAACTCAAAACTCAAGTCACAGTCTTCTGTTAAAATTTCCATCTATTTTAGCCTACTCTTGATCATCTCTATATTGCTTGCCAGAGCATACTAATAAGAAATAGCATACCAAGCCCTCCCTTATGCCAGGTACCATAATATATCCTTTATAGATTACAAAAGCCCACTTTTATGCACTTCAGACTTTCTTGGCCTTACTTCTTATCCATCTTCCCCTACAGGCACAGCCTGTCTGGGCTTTAAGTGGCTTCAGCCTGGCAAAACTCGATAAAGTCTCCCCTCCTGCTATGCTATGTGGCTCTCAGCTGCCACCACAGGTTCTCTGTTGATGTCAAGGCTTAGAAAGTTACAGAATACTGCTTGGCACTCATGTATAGAAAGTCCAGTGTATAGGGGGCGTTAATGCCTCATGAACTAAACTTTCCTCACTCGGAAAGATGTCCTGAGATGAGTTTATAAAGCTTCATAGAGTACAGTCCCACAAGATCAAGATCAAGCCGTGAGTCACGCTTAGTGGTGCCAACTTGATCATGCTCATAATGACTTTTGGTTCTTCCCTGCTCACTCCCTTGTCCCTCACTCTTTCCTATGCTTTTTGGGAAATGCACCTAAGAAATATCATCTTTTAAAATATTCACACTAACCTAATGAGGTAGGTGTTTTAATATTTCCCTTTTTATGGGAGGGGGGTGGAATTAAGGCTTAGAAAGGCCAAGTACCTCTAAGGTACTTAGAAAGAAAATTTAGGCTTCTTGCCTAAAGCACTCCCTGCATCCAACATTGTAAGCCCAGCCAGGACTATCTAGGATTTATCAGCATGAATGCTTAAAATCCAAAACCTTACGTTGAACATGATGTCTCCCTTCTTTCCCCCAAACCTTTCACCATAGTTACTTATATGTATAGTAAGTGCATGAGATAAAGAGGGAGTAAGATAGGGAAAGGGAGTTGGAAACACACACTACTTTGAATTTCACACCCTTTTAGGCACCCATTCTTAATATTAGTTAACAGTTTCCAGTTTTATCATCAGCTTCAATGCCAAGGTAAAAATATCCTAGTTAATGACTCTCTCTGCACTTATCCATCAGGCTGTCTCTATGCAGGTAAATGCTCACTGCACCTGCAGGTTTGTGGTAAAGTCCTGGGTAGGGGTGAGGGGGGCTCTGAAATAACTAACAAAGGCACAGCTCCAAGCAAAGACCAGGCTCTGGATGGGGTCAATCCAAGCAGTGTCCCATGAATATGGGGGTCTGTGGCCCCTGCCTGGGTTGATCTGAAATGATTTGTGGAGGCTGGTATTTTCAGAGCAATTAATCATTTCAACACACATTACCTATCACCGGGCAACTAAAGGCGCTCCTCATGCGGGTTCTGTTAATATCACTAATCCATCTGACCTTCCTGCAAGGTAAAAATCTCTTCATTTTTATCCCCATTTGGCAGATTTTAATTAACTTCTCAAGGCCAACCAGTTAATCAGTAGAAGCAGGATGCAAAGTGGGACACCTGCCTCCCTGCGCACTCGGCGCCACCAGCAGCCTCCCCGTTGTCTTCCCCACAGAGCTTTGGGTTTGCAGGAAGAAGTCGATGGCTGTTCCCCGCAGAGAACAGCACATGGCAATCTATCAGCCTAACACACAGTCACACAGCATGACTGGTTTCCTTCCGAGTCAAAATAAACGATTCCTTCAGCTCTAAAAGCCGGGGGGGTTTCTGTAAGATGGGAATACTTGTGCCACATTGTCCAAAACCCATGTAGGTTTAAAGATTTTCTATCCAATTGAAAGCCTTTCTGTTTTAGTAAGATAGTGTTGATGTCATCTGTGTGGCCCAAAGTGAAGAGACCCACAATGTGTTCCCGATGCCAGATACACGGGGGAAGACAGGGTTCTTAACACAGCTAAGAGGCAAATAAATCAATTCTTAAAAGGCGAGCTAAGCCTGCCAAGCAGGCAGTTACAGGAACTGCCTCCGAGCTGCATTTGAGGTTCTACTGTAAGAGCACAAATTACAGTTTTTGTCTTAAAATAGATAGGAGGTTGAATGGAGCACACAGAGATGTCTGGGTATTTTTGGAGTCTGAGAACATTTAGTGCCCTCGACACCAAGTCTTCTATTTAAGCTCCACAAGGCAGGCAAATTCCCAGGCTAATGGTTCAGTGATCAAGGGGATGGAGTATCAGAAGGCAGGTAAACAGTTCTGTTTTGTTTTTCTGGTGGGAGAGCCAAAAAGAATCTTTTTAAATGTTAAATGTTACTATGTGGGATTTGATATGACTCTTAGCAGTAAACTGACAGGGAAGCACTTTTTTTTTTTTTTTTTTTACAAAACTTATAAGGTTAATAGCTTTGGGTGTTTCTATGTGAACGGCTGCTTTTAACAAGCCACACGGCACATATCTGAGTTACCATCTTCTGTCCTTAGCGGGAACACTAGCACACGTGCATGCACGCACACATGCGTGCCTCCGTGTGCTCTCTCCACATGCCCCGGTGCCTTAGCACTGAGGACTTGGAACGTGATTTTCTGTGATTTTTTTTCTTTTCCTTGATGAGCATTTGTGTGTATGACAGTCCAGGCCCTAACAAGAGATTCATCCTATTTATTTTCTTGGTCAGATTGATGCTAATAAAACCTATTCACCCTTCTTCTTCTTCTCTCCCCACAAATTACACTAAAGTTTTATATACTTACATGACATTGTATCAAAACTAATTTCAGTGAAGGTATTAGACACCATTACTTAATGACTTTTAATGTCATAGAATCATTATAGGAGGGATCTAGCGAATAAGGAATAACCATAAATGCCAGTACAATAAAATAGTGTTTGTAAAGTCCTTATCACAGTGCTTAACACGTAGTAATTGCTCAATAAATGGTAGTTTCTAGCATCATCATCTCCAGTCACATTTCTGGTTAATTAGGCATATTCTAGAGTAAGTTTTAATTGAAAAATAAATTTAGAAGGAGCATATTTTATCACAGATTTATGTCAAAAAGCAAAGTCAATGGCCAGAGGGTCGTTCACAGACTAATACCATGACCTTCAATTCTATTAAAAGCCAACAAATACACTGCAAAATCATCATAGTATCTTGTATAATTTCATTTGGAGGGCCATGGTATCTTAGTTTAATTTGCAAATAATTCTCATATTCAAGTAATCATAACTCAAGATATGGGGTAAATAGACTCCAATTAATAGAAACCATAAAGAGAAAAAAACAGTCTCCCTAAAGAGCAAAAACTCCTCTATGTAAAAAAGAAACCTGATTGCTGCTGAGCCCATTCTGCCAGCATTCTGCTTCCTGTTTTTCCATTTTGATAGAAATGTTCTTATGATTCTTTTCTTGGTCCACAGAACAGTCAGACCTTGGTCATCTGAACAAAAATTTATTTAAATAAAGGTTCCTTAGGTCTTTGTATTTCAAAGGCAATGCTTTCTTTCGGGGGCATTTTTTTCTTGAGGGATAGAGGAGGGATGGGAGCAAGAACTAGACATAGCACAAAACTCTGAAGCAAGCATGGAAAACAAATAACTTGCCTCTGGACTCCACACAGAGGAGCTGTCAGTGGCATAGGAGTCTTCGAGCCCCCGGTTATTGAAAGCAGTCTCCGTCTCCAAGCTGCCCTCCGTGGACTGGCGGCGGAGGCTGCGCACCACGCTGGTCTCCTGGGGATGTGCACCCTGGTGCCTGGTATTGCCCGCCTCACACGGGGACTGTGAGGGGGCAGAGATGGGGTCCTCTTCACCGTAAGACAGGTTCTCAGAATAATTCAGGTGGCTGGCTCCATCCAAATCTGAATGTACAATGAGGAAACTATTTCAAATATGTTATTATTTTATACCCTTTTATCTAGAGAAATTGGGCAAGAGCAACTACACCAATCAAGATCACAAAATAACACCTGCAGAAACATAATTCCAATCATATGATGGATAAACTTGTTCCATAAAAGCAAAAAGCCAATTAATTCATTATGTGGGGTAGAAGGTTAAATATTTTCTAATAATATTATTATAAAGGATGTGTGTTTATGTTAGGAGAATAAAGTAAACACATTAGCATTTTGGTAGAGCTAATGACTACAAACAAAACTTTGGGGGTGGATCTAGAAAATAAGAACAGCAATCTATTATGGATGCCATATGGTCTCCTGACTCTACCATTATTTCTTTTCTCTTCCAAGTTCAACATATTACCCTCTGCTCAAAAGGCTTCAGCAGTTTTCTCAAGTAGAAATTTCTCTACTTGATTCATGCAAAGAACACTAGACTTGGATCCAGATGATCTGGGTTTAAGAACTTAAACATTTAATTTGAACCATCTGAACCTTTGTTTTCTTATCTATAAAATGATGATAAAAGTTATCAGAGAGGCACATCAAATATTAATAGTATCTGCCTGGTAGCCACCAGACCTTCCATAAATATTAGCCTTGGTTACTTGTATGGCCCCAATTGGCCTCATGCAACCCAGCAAACTTCATTTTCTACCACCTCCCCACTCTCTGTCACCTGCAGTCTCACTGGCTCATGAAAATGCTTGTTGTGTATTTCTGCTCACAGAAAGTCTCAAGCTCTCCCTCCTGTCCTTTCCTCCCTGCACGTCTAAAGCCTCAACAACAGCTGAATCTTCCTTGGCTCCTTCAAATTCCGTGTTTTTCTCAGACCTCATCCTTCTCCTCCTCTCCTCTTCTTCCTCTCCCTCCCTCCTCCTCTCTCAGTATTCCCTTACTCTGCTCATAGCTCGCCTCTCTTTCAATGTCTAGGTTACTCTCAGATAGTAAGGAAAAGCTGACAGTGTCTTCCCAAGCTGTTGCTTTCCCCTGACTTGACTCGCCCACCCAAAAAGTAGCCAAGGAGGCCTTATCTCTTTGGCCTTGAGGCTCCCCCAGTAGACCCCATCCTAGGATGACAGAAAGTTAGAGATACAGACATAATAAGTGAGTGGATGACAAAGTTTATATCATCAATTCAACTCTTCTTGATACAACGAACAGCTGCCATTGTTTCCGCTGTTAGTCTTAAAGTTTCAGGTGGAACATAACCTCCTTGACAGAACTAAGCCACATATCTCTACCACATAGTCTTTACCAGTGGACTTCGCTAAACCCTCAACTAACCGCAAAGGCTAGGGAGGTAACAAACACTGGAAGCAGCCAAGTATGTAGCGTTATAGACTGATGGTAACGGCGGTTTACCGCACAGCATAGGGCCTACCATGCAAACTTAAATATATTGTCACCTTTGCAAACCGTATGAAAATGTTTTCAGGCAGACTCGATCCTCAGTGCACAAAGTCAGACTCCTGATGTGGGATTTCGCAAAACTGGCAAGCCAGTAAGTTCCCCTCTCTGCCTTATTATTCTTAATAATTCAGTTCAGTCCGCTTGAAAATGCTTCCATAGGATACCATAACATTTTTACATTCACATTTCCAGTTATTTGGCAAATACACTTTTAAAAAGATCACAGAAAGTGACAGAACAAGGGATATTCCATGTGCAAAACCCTACAACATAAAGCAGAATTTTCTTCCAAGGCTCTAATTAGCACATCCACTCCTCACACACACGAACGCTAAAATGTCCTATTAAACAGTGGGTCATCCATCAACATGCTTAGCAGCCAGCAGGATTTCAGCACAAAACCTAACTTTGCCAAGAAATTACTCCCATAGAATTGTCCCATGATTTCAACTCCTACAGTGATAATACCTAGATCAGTAATAAGGGAATTTTCAAAAGCTACATCAAGCCTTGAAAAGCTATTCATAACTGAAAAACATAAGAACTATATTAATATAACAAACCATTTTCCTTGACAGACATTCAAGGATGAATTAGACAAGCAAACCTGGGGTACAAGTCAAGATGCGAGCAGCAAGAAAGAGAAAGGTGATTCACCGTTACGTAAAGTAGTCTTCCCATGCTTTAAATTAAAGAAGATCGTGTCAGCTTAAACACATACAGAACAGTAATTGCCTGTTGTCAGAGAAATGTAACCTGGCTTCATAGAAATATAGGGCATAATTATGTCACATACACCATATTAATTTTAGCAGGGAAATTCTTGAATTTGTTTAGTCCATACCGTACTTTGACAGAATGTAACCAATTACTTTCTTTTGCACTCCCAAACGCCTCTCTCCCACCACCATCCACACACAGATACTTTTGCTTACCATCTACAATGGTCAGTTTTATGTGTCAATGTGGCTAACCTATAGGCCCAAATTGTTCAATCAAACACTAATTTAGGTGTTGCTGTAAAGGTACCTTGTAGATGTGATTAAAGTCCTTAAGCAGTTGACTTTAAGGGAAGGAGATTATCTTACATAATCAGTCCATTAAAAGGCCTTAAAAGGATAACTGAGGGTCCCTGGAAAAGAAGAAATTTCATCTGTGCACTGCAGCTTTGGCTCATACCTGAGAGTTTAAGCCCAGCCTTCCCAACAGCCATTGCTGTGCATTTCAGAACTGTGTGATTCTGTTGCCTAGCCAGTCTCCATCAGTGCATATGCAAATTCCTTGCAATCTCTCTCTCCTCTCTCCCTCTCTCTTTCCTCCCTCTCTCTCTCCTCCCCTCATCTCTCTTCTCTCCTCCTCTCCCTCTCTCTTTCACCCCCCCATATACATATTTTGTTGGATTACCTCCCCAACAAAACTGAGCATAGATTCTGGAAATAATTGAGCTATTTTTAATGACACCAGGAAGGCAATGTCTAGCTTCTTTGTAAAATCCTAAAAATGAAATATTCCACAAGCAAAATTAAGGCTTGACACAAAAGTTGGGGGACGAAACCTCCAATGAGTGAACTATTATTCTGTAGACCACCTTTCATGTCTAAAGATCTGATGCACAGCCTGTGATCCAGATCGCTTAGCCCAAATCCTCTTTGACATTTTCAGGAATGCAGTGACAATTAATGCAAAATAACACTAACTCAGATACATGAGACGAAAGAGAACTTGGCTAGAATACAAAGATAGCATTGTCTTGATTCTAAAATAACCTCACCAATCTAGAATAAAGGATTTCTCTTGGGCTGAATCATGAAACAACCTACCAGTAACTCATTTGTGGTTCAGATTTGACTTGAATTTGGACCTTTAATTTCACCAGTCCAACATTGTGAATGTGTTTTTAAATTAAGAATTGTCTAAAATTAAATTTGATCTTAGAAAATCATGTTTGAAGTAGAGTGAAAAAAATAGCTAAATAGAAAACAGGCAAAAAAATCCTCTTGGGTGCACACTTAATCTCTTCATTATTCTTTATTGCTGAAACAAATTCACTGATCAAAAGATGAACAAAAAGAAATGCCACAGGAAGATCATCATGCAATAAAAATTACATTAGCATTTCCATTACATTTGATAACCTAAAATTTAGCATGTAGTTATTTATTCCTATGAAAATCCTGCCGGTTTTCTTCAAAATCTACAGGTAATTCATTCACTGTAGTGGACTTTTCCCCCTCTCCAGTAGAGAAAAATTTACCTTTTCTACCACCATCTATCAAAAAATTCAGAATCACTGGTTATGACAAAAGATGTTGGCTAATTTCAGGAACAGTAAATGTTAGAGTGGTTGTCAGAAGTCTCGGAATATCAGCCTGTTTTTATAAATCAGAAACTAGACACTTAGACTTCTTGGAAATGGGGCCATTAGCTTCAGAGTTAAACAAGCTACTCCTAGGGAAAGAACTGCTATTACCTGTCATTAGCCAACATTTGCCCTCTCCGAGGACAGAGAGGGATGCTGTGATGTAACATGACAGAGAAAAGCAGGAGAAGTCATAAGGAACTGACAGAGGGTCAGTATTATGCTTTGGTTACATGAGGCATTTATTTTCTGGCTTACCTTGGGCAAAAAAGAATAGCAAAAATTATGTTATGTTGCCCATATCGGTAAGCAAAATTACATGATAAATAGCAAATTATGATATTTTCACTGGAGGAAGGAGCTTTTTGTTAATTCTCCTTTTTTCCCTTTGTACTTTTTCTGCCTGGCTCATCACATAACAAGTGATTTCCTCTCTGTTATCTCCTCTCAATTTTGCACTTTCCTTTTTCTCTTTCCTTTTTCTACCACTGTGTGTTGGAAAACCATGGGAGAGCTACAGCTATGCCCCCCTTGGTTTCACAGACCACAATCCCAAAAGGAAAGAAAGAATAGATTAAAGAATCCAGATCATTAAGACCAGGTGGCTAAGGTGGACAGTACATGTTCTCTAGCTTTTTACCAAATAGACTTCACAGACCCTTCCTTTTCCCAATGCACTGCACCTACTCAGGGTTCTGGGCATAAAAGAGTCAAAGACATTCCTGACCTTCACTCGGGAAAGCACTAAGAAATATCGCTCTGTCATTCGGTGCAAGTGGTGCGGAAGGAGGAGGACTCTTAACAAGACCTTCCCTCCACCACTCGCTACACTTATCCTGCCCAGGAGTGTCCTTCCCTCCCCTTTGTGGAAGGCAAACTCAGTACAAAGATGCTTGAGGGTGGCCTAAGACCTTGCTCTTGCCCCGCAAGTCTCATGTGAAATGGGGGTGGGGATGTTCCAAAACTACAGGGAACGAGGGAGAGGGTGCAGGGCATGTGTTGTTTGAGAGAGGTTATCCAATATTATTATAATACATGTTTTGGTTTGGAAAGTAAAACATACCTATTGTTTTTAATAATACGAACTATTAAAAGAAAGCCTTCAAAAGTCTTCTGAGGCTACCTCGCTATGTGGGACATAGGCTTGATGACTGCAAATGGGAGAAAAGGCACAGAATCTCAATGTTGGCAGGCGGATACATGAAATGTTTGCGCTTAACAGAAAGCAACAAGATATTATAAAGCTTGATAAATAGTGTTCTGGTCATTAGTGTTAAATATGCATAAAGTAGTAACTATGCAGAGGGAGGGAATCCCACAAATCAGGAGTCAAGGCTCAGAACTTCTGATCTCCCCTGCACCCCAGTTCTCTGCAGGATGACCCTCCCACCCCCCCCCCAAAACTTGGAGCAGCCCTTGCTCCACCCCAGCCTCGGGGTCCTGCCCCATTTTCTCTCCCTTTTGGAAGTCTCAGATGCCAGGGCAGAGGTTACATGATGCAAAGACATTCTACCCCTTGGCCATCCCTGGGCTAGATGAAGGAAGGTTTGATGCAAAGAATACCTTCACGGGCGGACACCTGTGCGCTGTCCTCTTTGCTGGCAGAGAGCAAGCGGCGCAGTTTTGGTTTCTGCTCCAAGCCTGTCTGCTTGCCTTTCTCGGGTGCTCTGGAACGGAAACTCTGGGACCGGGACACAGAAATCTCAAATTGTTTGATCACCTCCTCATCAGAGTCAGAAGATGTGCACAGCTCTTCATCATCTCCAAAGCTGTTAACTGGGAGCAAACAAGAGCCATGAGTGTCCTGCAGAGCCCTCAGGAATTCAGAGATCGACAGTCAGAGAAACAGAAGCGCGTGGGCCATTAGTCTGGATCAAGCCGTGCCAAGCTGGACAGAAACAATTTAAAGCAAATTTAACAATTAAAACAAATTTAAATTTGAGTCCAAATCAATAAAACAGGAAAGGAGGGTGCATGAGGGTAATTGGTAGTAGATGGCTAACGCCCAGGAGAAACCAGTGGGATGGCCCTAATCAACACAACGAGCCCTCTTGTTGAGCCGGGCAGCCCTGCTGATTTATGTCGCTGACACGTGCTCATAACTGGGAAGGGGACAGCTATCTGTGCCCGTGCCTTATGTGCAGATCCAGTCAACCATGACAGAAAATATGCTCTTTGCTTCATCTCAGCTATTAAAACACACAGAGCCAAATGATATTTGCAACTGAGATTTTCTAAAAGCTTCCTGGTTTTGAAAAAAGACATCCATATTGAGTGTGTGTGTGTGATCCTATTTCGACTAGAAATGTTCTGATACCCGTCTCAACTCCAACAACCCAACCCAAACAACCCTTGGAATTATTTATGCCACTTTCTCCACATTCCCCACTTCTAAGCACACTGGTCCTCCTTCAGTTTCTCCAACATGCCCGGATCATTCCTGCCTTTGAGTTCTTTGACTTTTTGTTCCTTCTGCCTGAAACCCTCCCTCCCCTGGCTTCTCTTACCATTCAGGTGTCAGCTCAACTCTCACTTGACTCTAATCACTTTCTTGATTACCCTACCTTAAGCAGTTCTCTTTATAGAACTTCTTATCTTTATCTCTCTCTTCTCTCCCAGAACTTTCATAAAAATAAAGACATCACCTGTCTTGTTAACCAATGTGTGCCCATTATATAAAATAATGCCTGTTGCACAGTAAGTGTTTAATACACACTTGTTAAATATTGAATCAATTGGTGAACACCCAGTGTTTTATCCCAACCTCGAAGGCCCCCCAGGCATGCAGTTCCCACCTGGAATACTCTTCAGCCCCCATCCAGCCTAGTCAAGAATCTAGCTCACCTTTCAGGCCTCAGCATGGACATCACTTCTTCCAGAAAGCCCTTCCTTGACCCCTTATATCATGTTCAGGGTTCCTTACATGTGCTATAAAAAACTCTCTGCCCTGCTCTGGCCATGCTTCCTCCAATACTATGACAGAATTCCCTATTTAATTGCCACCACCACCCCTAACCTGTGCACACCAAGAGGGGAAGGGGCACATCAGACCACCCACCTTCATATCCCTCCAGGCTCTATTTCTGTGCCAGGAACATGGCGACTACTCTGTAAGTGTTTTCTGAATGTGAATTGGAAATGATAGATAACGGGAAATTGGTTTTTGAATATCTCCTCCTTCTACCCAAAGTCACATGATGACTTTTCTTCTGGGGAAGAATATGGTGTTGATTCACAGATGGGTCCTAAAGATCACTTCCGAATCAGAAGCTAAGAAAAAATTTAAAAGCCATATTTCAAATGAAAGAAAATACTTTAAACACCAGCCTGGTCAAAACATTTATTCTCTGACTTATTTAAGAATTTATATTTTTGAGGTTCTTTAGGAGACTAGTAATAATAACAAACACTTTTGGAATACTTTTTATGTGCCAGGAATGGTCCTAAGTGCCTCACACATATTATTTCATTTAATCCACACACAATCTCTAATTACTGTTCCCATTTTCCAAGTAAGAAAACTGAGGCAGAAAGAAGTCTACAATGGGCAGAAGGTCACATTGCCAAAAAGCAGCAGAATCAAGACTTGAACCAATACAGACTGTCTCTAGAGGCCACATTTCTAATCCCTATGCTAGAGAACCAGAGAGAGGTGGTGGAGATAAGTCTTGTTCTCTATATTCACATTAACTGGCTGAACCCCAGCAGCCGAGTCCCTTCACCTCTCTGGCCATGCTTCACCTTTTGTGGATCATTTCTAACATCTGGGTCATCTCCCAGGTCTTTTCTAGATTTAAATTTTCTGCTTCCAAACTTCCTGCCTACCCGCGTGAACATTTTATGTTTCTCTCTTTTTTGGAGCAGCTAATCCAAGAATAGAGAGCCCATCACTGTCAGCTCTCTCATCTCTATTGGCTGCGATCGGTGCCATGGGAGGGCCTAAAAAGTTAATTGTCAGAAGAGACTAGATTTCCCATTAATACTCCAATACCATCCCAACAAGTAGCTGTCACAATGAGAAGTCTGCTTGTGTCTCAACATGCTGGGCATTGCACTCTAGAACGGGGCGAACTATCACATATGGGAGACATCCAGAGACTCACTGGAGTAGACTTAAATTCTTTCCACCTGTTGAGGATAGGACCCGCTAAGCACCCGGGAGGGAGTCCGGGGCATATATACACTAGAGGGGCAGCTGAATTAGATATCCGCTTAGTGCTCTTTTCAACTCTGAGATTCCATTCCACTTGTATTGCTGGGCAGGCAGTTTTTAAATTTAACTAATCATAAGTCATCAATTTCAAATTAAGGGAGTTAGCTCATGGGTATTTCCCCACGTATAAAATCAGTAATTAGAATTCATTAATTTACCAGCATGTAGTCCTTGATTTTTTCCAATGAGTCACTGATCACCCACAGAGAAACTCTCCTCACTTAATATAATAATCATAATAGTAATTATAACACCTCCCATTTACTAAACATATACTATGGGCCAGGCACCTTTCTTGGGACTTTGTGCATATTACCCCATTTAATCACCATAACGACACCAGGAAGTAGAGATGATTATTATTATTCCCATTGTAGAGATAGGAAACAGAGGCACAGAGAAGTTAAGGAATTTTATCTACTAGGCAAAAAAGTTAGCAAAGTAACAAAGCTGAGACTTAAACATAGAACCTATATTCTTCACCACTGTGCCTATCATCACACATCATTGTATCAGGACACTGCAGCTGTATGTAGCTTACTTTTCACAGTAAGTTGAGATGGAACGCTGCCACTTCCACCCTGAAATCTGCCAGGAGGCTGCTTTCTTTGTGAGAAGGGAAGAGCAGTGGGGAAAATGGTCAGTCTCCATGGGAGTGAGTACATATAGGCAAGCTGCAGTCTAACTGGCTATTGCTCCTTATGGGATTAAAAATACACCTGCCATGCTATTCTACACCTGGCTACCCAAGGCTCAGGGAATTCTCTGCCTAAAAAAACAAAACAAAACTCTCATTCCTCCTAGAAACCACTGAGCAGCAACAGATGTCAATGGTGATACTACAAATCAATCCCTATACAGCACTTATACATGATAAGAACCACATGCCAAACATTGTTCTAGAACTTTATATATGTTACTCTATTTACTCCTCACAAAACCCTTAATGAAACAGGTACTTTATTATCCCTATTGTATGAATGGGGAAGGTGAGGCCCAGTGAAGTTAGTAATTTGCCACAATCATAACAGTTAATAAATAGTGCAACCAATATTCAAACCCAAGCTGTCTCTCTCCAAAGTCAGTGTTTTGAATGACCATCAGCTGCCTCCAGGAAAAAAACTTCTTAAATCCTGGTGAAAATCTACGTAATCCTGTTTTATCACTAAGAAGACCGAAATCACATTGGTTGGACTGGAAAGGATATTCATAAGCATCCATCTATTCCCTCACTTTCACGAAGAGAAGCCAAAGCCAAAGGAGGCAAAGTGCTTTGCCCACAGTTATACCACATGGTCTCCAGTGTTCCATGTCAAGGGCTTTGCTACATTCTCTTCCAAGCTCTGTTTCCACTGGGCTGATTTTTCAAATTCAAATCTTAACTCTTACCTTTTTGAAAGATCCCAGCTACTCACTTTGTAATGAGTCTATATCAACAACTAAATACATGATGTAGGTTTCATTTGACTTAAATATTTGAAAATCACAAAGTCTCATCTAAGCTGTGGCACTTATTTCAGAGGTAAGATTATACTTCCTATAATACCATGTCAGATACCAAGTTCAAACCCCTTTCAAGCTGAGTGCCTGAAAAACAGCACAGTGGGGATTTGTATTAAAATCCTCACCCCTTCTTCATCCAATTAGCTTGCTAAAATACCAGGGAAAAGTTGCACAATTACTATAGATATGGAAACATCTTGAGGTTGTGATTGGTCATTTCACTCATTCACAAGATGCAGAGAGATCTTAGGTACCACCTAAATGTCAGACTCCTGTAATCCTTCTGATGCACAGCCAGCCAGATTCATCCCTTCTTCACATACTATGGAGATGCCGCCGTGGGCTTCTTACACGGCCAGAAAGCTCATGACTTTGACACTCAGAGAGACCTATTTATAGACCCATCAATATCCAGGCCCTACTCCAATGAAGTCCCTCACTCTAATTTTAATGATTTGTTTCTATTTTAAACAGATAGGGGCAGAGGAAATGATATCTTCGTCTTGCACATTTAAGAGAGGAAGATGGGTCCCCAGCACCATAGAAACTGCCTGTCAAGTGTAACATCAGTTAAAGCTGGAGCGATTGAGGATGTGGAATCTGGAATTAAGTTGCCTGAGTTTGAATCTACTATTTGCTATTTTGAGACCTATGAGAGTTCTTTAATCTTTCTGAACATCACTGTTCTTATTTTGATATTCCTTCTTAAAATTGTTGAGAGGACTAAGCGAGGCAAACCATAAAAAGGCACTTAGCACATGGGTGGCATATGATACGTTACCTATTATTATTATTATTATTATTATTATTATTATTATGCCCCATCATGGCAGTGCCCTGTGTGGAAACCCTTTTATGAAGTTTGCATTTACATGCAAAGGAAAGAATGTGCCTGTTTTTGCAGTGCCTCACTTGAAAACACATCATCAGAGTTGTCGTGGGAGATGGCTGACAAAAATAAGGACTAGACAGGGGAAGATTAATTGATAATGTGGGTTGTGTGACCTTCCCCACCCCACCACTCTTTTTCCCAAGTCTGGAGGTAGGGCACTCTGGCAGA